AATGATAAGTTGTATTCACTTGAATATTTGTTTGAAAGCTTGCGGTTCTGTTGGAACCATTGGCGGCAAATATTCTGAAGAGTTTGTGTTGGGGTCTGATTTAGGGGAAGACGAGGTCTTCAAATGCAACTCATGTGACAAAGCATTCAATGCAGAACTGATAGCCACTCGTCAAGAGGTGGAGTGTATGTTCTGCAGTAGTCATGACTTAACCAAATTCAATGCCATAGAAGTCGGACATACTTTCCTTCTTGGGAACAGATATTCTGAAAAATTTGACGCAAAATATACAGCGAATGAAACGAAAGCCAAAAAGTAATTTCATTTGGTTTTGATTTATGTTTGAATTTAACACTTAATACGTTGACAGCATATACGAGATGGGGTGCTATGGGTTGGGTGTGAGTCGGATATTAGCCGCTTCTGTGGAAGTGTTGTCTGAAAATCACTCAATTCGATGGCCCTATGCTTTGGCGCCTTTCAAAGTGTGCTTAGTTTTGCCAAAAGTATTCAATTTCTATATTCACTGAAAACTGAATGGTATTTAAAGTGCAATCATTTGCAGAAAGGCAGCAAAGAAGACGTTTCCAATGGAACAGCATTTACACAGGATTTTGCCAATTGTTTGTCAAATGTGTTGAATGAAGATATTCTGGTCGACGACAGAATTAATCAGACAATTGGTAGACGACTGGCCGGTTTGGAAACGTTAGGCATTCCTTATACGATAATTGGTGGCAAACGAATCACTGATGAAATGCCCAAATTTGAAGTGATTGACAATCAAACGAAAAATAACTATTTAATGACTCAATTAGAATGCATTCAGTTCTTAGAAAGTGTTTTATAAGAGTTTTATACTGTAAATAGATTTAATTACTGTTTAGTACGGTAATTATAGCTAATTTATACTGTATTTAAAATTTAAAATTTGATAATTATGTAATAAAATAATACATTTATAAACAAATAACTAATTGAACAATTTGATTTAACAATACATGTATTCAAACATTCTTATATTCTTTAGTTTATATGAATAATTTTAAATTGATTGGTATTTAAAAGCCAAGGTAAAGAAATTCTTGAAACAGTATTTGGCTCAATAATATATTCTTGAAATTAGCTTTTGAGAAATTGTTGCAATTATATTCAATTCTGTGGTTGATTATTAATATTAATTTTAAGTAAAGTATGAGATTGATGAGAAAATAAATTCTAAATTAGGCTATAGATGACTAATTTCTTCCTGGTTGTTTACTAATATACATTTATATCCAAGAATTTAATATTGGATTTTTAGTAATTTTAATAAGTTGTTTACTCCTATTCTTTAATAAATAATACATACAGAATTATATTCTAAACCAAATGTAAAAAATGTAACATACTTTCATAAAGCATTTCATTTACATCTGTGTTATGTTTTAAAGGAGAATACATAACTAAAGTGGAAATTTTTATCAATTAATCTAATTAAATATTTATTTATTTGTAATTTAATCATTATTCAGTATCATAGATGATAACAGATTATTACTGACTATTTATTTAAATTAATTACTGTTTCAATATTCTGTATTCAAGTATTGATTTATTGCGAGACTATTATAAAATATAGGAAGAGTTTAAAGCAGATCTGGATCAAATGTCAGTAGAAATGAATAATTTCTCTTCCAATAAACTTAATTACATTTGATTGATATCACTATTTCTATCAATGCTTATTAATATCAACGAGGATTAAGAACTCAATAACAATGATACTGTGTTTGCTATGAAACAGGTGTTGAATTAAGTAACTGTCCTATCAATACAGATATTATGACAGTATAACATTTGAATGTTTATCAATGGATAATTCCATTTAACCCGTAAACCCACGACAATTTATCACATTTTTAGACCTCTTTATAAAGTGTTTTTGTTCTATACTGTACTTACTTTATATTATACAGTACTCTAAATAACAGAATATCATACCATAAAATGTTTATTAATTTTGACTTTTTTGTTTGTTTCATGGAAAAGCTATCATTTTATCAGATTCGTCTAATTATAATAATGAGACTGTTTGTTTTAATATTCTATAAATTTGTTTTAATTTTAATTCATTCCTTGTTCAGCATTTATAGACAATAAGACAAATGATTTTTAAATTAAATAAAGTTTGCAAATAAATATATTTATAAATAAAAATGTTTTTAATAAATACAATAGTTGTTCAAAAGGGTTTAAACAATCAAATTATAACTAAACATACATTTCTTTCATAAATTTATAATAATAATAATTACATTTTTAATAACTTGTATTTCGTAAACAAATTTTAATATTTAATTTTTTATTACTTTTTTAATGAAGAATTATAAATGATTTTTATAAATTAACGGACATAGAGTTTATTTTAAATAGTAATAATAATAACCGATAATGAAATGAGTAATTAAATAACTATTTTCCACTTTTCTGCATCTTTTCCCGAAATGAGCCTAAATTAGGCCAATTGCTGCCCTTATAGTGCAGAATATAATCCGGCAAATCGACACCCATTGCAGCTGTAAATACAAAT